AATTCCAAATAAAAATGGATATAAATATAAATATGATATTAAATTACGACCTCAAGAACTATTTTCTAAATTAACAAAATAAGAAAAAACAACTAAAATGTACTATAATATTCGAAACACATTAAGCGCTGCTTAATTAAATTCGACTTAAGAAAACAGACCAACTCCCAAACAAGGTGTGAATTAAAAAACTTCCTATTTATTGTACCAAATGAAAATACACATTTTGCAATTGCTACGATGTTAAAAGCACATTAAACTCCGCTTAATTAAGTTCAGCTCACAATAAGGTAGCAACTGGCCGCGAAACGGATAAACAAGCAAACGTTCGCATTAATTAGCGGTCGCGTGCCGTAGTATTGCGTGCGACGATTGTGCGTGTCGTGTTGCGACTATCTCGGGCTCCATAATTCCAACCCTCAGAAGGCATCCACCTTCGTAAACGTCAAGTTATGTCGCGAGTCGACGTTTTAAGGTCACGTGCCATGGAATCTTACAAAAACTCTCTACTAATTGTTCAACCTTAGATCACCAAATTAGATCACAAATTCCAACGATACCGAAAGCACGCCGTCGGACTAAAGAAAAAAATCGCAATTTTCAACGTCTTCTTGATTTCAAACGAATGAAATTCTTCTTCCATTTATTTCTAAGAAAATTGAAATTATTACTGGCGACTTTTCGATCATTCTTAATTTAATTGCCTTCGGAAAGCGTCGAACGTGGGGAAATAAGCGAAAGCTCAGAATCGGCATATCCGCGTTCCTATTCTACCAATTTCTAACCAAACTAAATATGGAGAAATGAAACACGGAATGTGAAAAAGGGAAAGCTGAGCGCCTAACGCTGAGCTCAGGATCGAAATAAATATTCATGCTACTATTCTATGAATTTTAGACCTAAGCGAGTGTGGAAAGTGTCGAATATGGAGAACAAGGTACACGTAGCGCAAAGCTCAGGATTAAAATAAATATTCGCGTCCGTATCTTGCCAATTTTTCACCTGATTAAAAGTAGAAAGCGTGAGACATGGAAAAATAAGCGAAAAAAAGAAGGGGGAAGAGAAACGCTTGATACAACACTCGGAGTGGAAATAAATATTCGTGTCCCTGTTCCACGTTTCAACGAGCTTTACTTAATATTCATCGTCCTCCCCTTCTCTCTTCCTGTGTC